ATCTGGTTTATTTATAATCCAGTTCATGTATGAACCAGTTCATGTATGAACCAGTTCATGTATAATCTGGTTTATTTATAATCTGGTTTATTTATTATCCAGTTTATGTATAAATCCGTGAAGCGCCTCGTGATTTTTATCTTGAGAGGCGCTATAGAAATGATTTCTTCTTCTTCTTCTTCTTCTTCTTCTTCTTCTTCTTCTTCTTCTTCTTCTTCTTCTTCTTCTTCTTCTTCTTCTTCTTCTTCTTCAGTTCATGTATAAACAAGTTTGTGTATGAACCAGTTCAGGTGTAAACCAGTTTATGTATGAACCTAATTTATTCTCCATAGAAGAAGAAAATGAAAGCCAGGCGGTCTGAAGGGTTAGTGTTTGACCTCCACGCTGCTGTAGACGAGCAGATTTCATGTGTCATCTGGAGTCCAGGACCTCGGTGTGAGCCCTTCTGAGGGTTTGTGTTACCAAAACAGATGATTACTGGATGAGCTGATTTTTAATATCTGCTCACATTCAAGTGTTTTGATTGGTTATGCAGCAGGGTCAGGGCTCTCACCTCAGGTCCTACAAGTCACTGGAGGAAGCAGGAATCCAGCTGCAGCAGCAGACTGCTCTGCTTCATGATGATCATTTTTCTTCATGTGACATTCATTTAGTTTCAACAACTCAATGAGGCTTTTTTGATGCACAGTAATTGCAGCGCACATTTTTACAAGAAGTCAATTTGAGATTTGCATTAAGAATGGCAGCGTGTCATGGTGGAAGGGTTCTGCAATAAAGAGACCAGCGATTGAGACGGAGATACTTGTGAGGGGCCACAGCGCTGGCTCAAAGGAACCTCATGCGATAAAAATAAAACCCAAATGGGAAAATAATGGAGGTTTACTCAGACGCTGTCACAGAAAACTTCTAAGTTGTGGAAACATGGACCGAAACTCAGCCAAACTGTTGACAAGCTGACACAACAGCAGTGGTTTTTCTCCATGAAGGCGTTCTTTTTTTCTGCCTCAGCAGCAGATAAACGTCTTTCTTTTACAGCAGGTGATAAATGTCAGGGTTATTAATTGATATAAGACATTCATTATTTCACAATTACCTTGATTGCAGTGGTGCAGTGCAGGGGGACTAATGGGTTCCCACTCAGAAAACACGCTTTCTGTAGTTTTAATGCCTGTGAACCTAATGTGTCAGCTTGAATGAAATATTTAAATATGTCTGAAAGGCACAGACAAAGATTTACTTGATACCTGTGAGCACAGAGCAGAGGCTAAACTACAACAACAACAACGAATCTCTGCATTTGTGGAGTTGTCACATTGACGCATTTCATGGATTCATCCCAGATGGATGGGAGTCATTACAAGCCTCACCCATGAAGTGTTTCTTTTCCTTTCTGTACGTTTAGATTTAGTGAATTACCAGATACACTGAGTTTGTTTACATTTGAAAATATGGTGAATGTTGACTAATGTGCTCAAAGGTTCCTGATAAGATTTTATCAGCTGCAGCTTTGCAGATGTGCCGCGGAGCAGGCCGGCTCGCTGGTTCTGTTTAAAGCTGCTGACACCGGTCTGAGTGGCGGTGGAGCTTAAGACTGAATAAACAACACCTAGAAAGCCTTTTGCAGAACCTGGACAATGATAAAGGAAACTGTGTTTACTTTTATTTACTTCCTCATGGCACCACACCATGTGAACAGAGTTGGTGTAAACCAGTTTATGTCTGGATCAGATCCGAGTTTCAGCCAGCTCTTTACTTAGTAAGCCTCCTGGCATTTTGCATCAATCAAGTTATCATAATTAATGTTTTTAATTAACTCTGAAACCCTGCAAAGTAATTATACTTGAATTTCCTGTGAATACAATATTTGACCTAATCTGTGATATGAGAGCCATTCCTCTCCTGGTTCGTTAATCATCAGCTATATGACATCATACCTGAGTGGTTTGTCTCAAATGTACTCTCTGTCATGCTGAGGGTTGGAGGAGTAGGACCCAAAGCGCAGATACCCAGAATGACACGAGGCAGGAGAGGATGTAAAATTAAACATCTTTATTAAGATGGTGAGTCCAAAAGAAAACCTAGAGAGACACGAAAGCCAAAAAATCCTAGAAGGGCAGAGCCAAAGAAAACCTAGTGGGGCACGGAGCCAAAAAACCTGGAGACCTACAGATCTAGAAGGAGCGGGGGACAAAACAATGCAGACACAAACTCCTCCCACGCCTGAGATTTTGCCTCGGCAACTGCCACTGCTGCACCCCGCTTGGCTATCCGGTACCTATCTGCTGCCTCCGGAGACCCACAGACCAGCCACGCCCTATAGGCCTCCTTCTTCAGCCTAACGGCTCCCCGAACCTCTGGTGTCCACCAGCGGGTACGAGGGTTGCCACCACGACTGGCACCGGCCACCTTGCGACCACAGCTAGCAACAGCTGCCTCAACAATCGTAGAGTGGAACAAGGCCCACTCGGACTCAATGTCCCCACTGCTCTCGGGACACGGTCAAAGCTCTGCCGGAGGTGGGAGTTGAAGACCGTCTTGACAGGTTCTTCTGCCACGCGTTCCCAGCAGACCCTCACTATGCGTTTGGGTCTGCCATGTCTATGCGGCATCTTCACCTGCCATCTGATCCAACTCACCACCAGGTGGTGATCAGTTGACAGCTCTCTTCACTCGGGTGTCCAAAACATACGGCCGCAGGTCAGATGATACGACTACAAAGTCTATCATCGACCTGTGACCTAGGCTGCCCTGGTACCACGTGTACCCATGGCCATCCTTATGTTCGAACATGGTGTTCATTATGGCCAAACTGCGGCTTGCACATAAGTCCAATAACGAAACACCACTCGAGTTCAGATCAGGCGGGCCGTTCCTCCCAATCACACCCCTCCAGGTCATGCTCTCATTGCCCACGTGTGCACTGACGTCCCCCAGCAGGACAATGGAGTCCCCTGATGGAGCACTATCTAGCACTCGTCCCAGGGGCTCCAAAAAGGGTGGGTACTCTGAACTGATATTTGGCCCATAAGCACAAACAACAGTCAGGACCTGTTCCCCGACCTGAAGGCACAGGGAAGCTACCCTCTCGTCCCCCGAGGTAAACCCCAACACACAGGCAGAGAGTCTTGGGGCTAACAAAAAGCCAACCCCAGCCCTCCACCTCTCTCCCGGAGCAACTCCAGCAAAGGAGAGAGTCCAACCCCTCTCAAGGACTTGGGTTCCAGAGCCAATGCTATGTGTCAAGGTGAGTCCGACTATATCAAGCCGGTACCGCTCAACCTCTGCCACAAGCTCCTGCTCCTTCCCCGCCAGCGAGGTGACATTCCATGTTCCAAAAACCAGTTTCCTTGTCCGGGGATCGGACCGCCAAGGCTCCCGCCTCGGTCTGCCACCCGATCCACATTGCACCGGACCCTTCATGTTCCTCCTGCGGCTGGTGGGTCCACAGTTGGATGAGCCCATGTATCCGGTTCGGGCTGGGCCCGGCCGGGCCCCATGGGTGAAAGGCCGGCCACCAGGCGCTCGTTCACGGGCCCCAACCCCAGGCCTGGCTCCAGGGTGGGACCCCGGTAACCCTCCGGGCCGGGTACTCCGACTCCTTGATAGTTCATCCATGAAAGTTCCTCAGAACCGTTCTTTGTCTCACCCTTCACCTAAAACCAATTTGTCATGGGAGACCCTACCAGGGGCACAAGGTGCCCCAGACAACATAGCTCCTAGGATCATTAGGGCACTCAAACTCCTCCACCACGATAAGGTGACTGTTCAAGGAGGAGATAAAAAAAAGGGTCATTAGAACCTATCAGGTAGCTTAATACTAGACTCCCAACCAATCAACAACACAGAGTCAGGCACGCTCCATATATATATATATATATATATATATATATATATATATATATATATATATATATATATATATATATAGATAGAGAGAGAGAGAGAGAGAGAGAGAGAGAGAGAGAGAGAGAGAGAGAGAGAGAGAGAGAGAGAGAGAGAGAGAGATTTCTAAGGCATGGGGCAGATGCCTGATGCAATCCTATCCCCAAATTGAAGACAATCCTTTCTCACCAGGTCTC